TAAGAAAATCTGAATAAAATGTGGACATTGGTTAATAATAGTTTCATTAATTATAGCAAATATACCATATTAATATTGMATATTAATAATAATTTTTAGACTTCAGCCTTTTTAATAAGCATGTAGAGATATTTCATTGTTATTTTAATTTGCATTTCCCTAATAACAAATGTTGGGCATCTTTCATGCACGTATTTGCCATCTATATATCTTTTTTGGTGAAGTGTCTACTCAGATCTTTTTGTCCATTTTTTAATTAAGTTTTTTTTTATTGTTGAGTTTCAAGAACTAATTGTACATTCTGGGATAAGTTCCTGATAAGACAAGTGTTGACAAAATATTTTCTTCCGGTCTGTGGCTTATCATTTCATTCTCTTAACAGTGCCTTTAACACAGCCTATGTTTTTCATTTTAATATACTTTAACTTATCAAATTTTCTTCTACAGATCATGATTTTTGTGCCATATCTAAAAACTCTTTGTCAAGCTTAAGGAAATGTTGAACTCTCTTCTTTTTTCTTGAAGTTTTATAGTTTTGCAGTTTAGATCTGTGTTCCATTTTGAGTCAATCTTTGAATCCTCATGAAACATGTCCAGTAAAAATTAATCAAGTATATTTGTCTCAATATTATTTTAAAACCTGTCCATAAAATAACATCCCATAATATTTTAATGACAAAAATATAAAAGATATAAATGAATTCTACCAAGTGTAAATTATCAAAAGACAAAATTACAACARACTTAAAGGTCTCAGTAGGCTTTTGTGATTCTAGAATCAGACAATATCTCATTCTATAAGATAGAACAGAATGAGTAGTTTCCCAGCAGCTGAGCAGAGAAAGTTGAGTTTTTGGATAGAAAAGGRCTAAGAGAAGAAACAGAATAAACTTATGAATTGGTTGTTTCAAAGTTACTTTGGTTGTAAAGGTTAAATCAGAAAAGACTTCCTAATGATGCTGCCTAAAATTGGCCTATTATGGGATTTGGCTATTATCTCTGTTTTCTCAGAAGTTCAAATAAATAACTTAGTTTCAGCTTGTTGATTTGGAGCCTCAGCAAGAACAATTCCTTTTTGGTGTGGTCCAGTGCAGAAAGCTCAGTCCAAAGCAATTGTCTCTTGTGAATTTTATTTAACATAACATATATAAACATATAATCTTTACTTAATGATAATTATATTTAACCATCAATTATAAAACTACCACGACCTGCCTTCTTCTTCAACATCTTCTCATGTTCACTAATTCCAGCTTCCAACCAGTCTTTCTATTCCTGAATCACACCAAGGTCACACAGGACCTAGACAAGAGGAGGCTAGACAATTTCCTGTGGGCGATTTTCAGTCCAATTTGTGTTTAGKGGCCTCAAGGAGGTCTAACATTCAAGAGCCTTCCCTTTTCACTTGGGGAAGGAGGTGCAATTAGCAAATTGTAACTGTGAAGAAAGGTATACGGAGATCTTGATGTTCTTTTCCACCAGATACATTTATTCGTGTTTCAACAAGAGAAGAGAACATGGAAAAATTTATAAAATTCCCATGAGATGTCTCTTCTAGATCAGAAGTAATACTACCCTACTGTTCATTGTTTCTGTTTGAAAATCAAAAGGGATCTGACACTTAGTGMCCCCAATGAGATGAGGAAACATTACCCACCATCCCTTGCTTCCACTCCAGGTGTGGGCTTACTTCATACCCACCGGTCCCACCTCAGTCACTGAAGTGTGTCTGTGGGCTCCTTTGCTCAGGTGAGCAACTTCAACATCCAGGACTAAGCAACCCTTTGGTGCAACTCACCCTCGGCAGAGAGTTGAAAATAGTCCGAGTAATAGGTCAATACTGTTTTTCAAGGGGAATAGAGGAGCCTTCAAAATACTTGGACTAGTCTGTCTACTGGCATTTGAATTTTCCATCTCATTATGTTTAAAAGAAGCAAGCAAGATTAGGTTTAGCCCAGAAAAATGGTCTGATGTCTGTCAAATCTAAGACATCACCTCCTAGAAAACTCTTCTCCTGGCTGGTTGGCTCTTATTTAAGATTCTCCTCTTCATCTTACCACCTCATTTTTAAAATTACTCCATTCATACAGTCACTGTATTCCATTTCCTGTGTGGGTCTTATTAATATCAGAATTATAATATTTATTTTCTTTCTGTCTTTCAAACTGCTCTTCTACTTGCCTTCCTGCTTTAGAATGTAGTTTATGAGAACGGGGACTTGCTTCTCAAATGCCAGGTAAAAGGTCCAGGGAAAAAAGGGTCAGAATGGTGTCAAATTTTGGTATTATAATAAATTCAAATGAAAATCTCAAGTATACATAAAACATTCAAAGACCCTTAGACATCTAACAAAAGAGATCATATAAAAATAGGGTGATGGAGCTGGGGCTGGGGCTCAGCAATACTGCACTTGCCTGGCATATGTGAGGCACTGTGTTTCATTCTCAGTACCACATATAAATAAAGGTCTATCAACAACTAAAAAATAAAACTAAAAAATTTTTACAAAATTGGGTGAGCACCAGAGATAGATTTATAGACCCATGTGATGTTTGAGCTGAGGGCGCATTAGAGAGCCCCAAATTTTAAACAAAAGGGAATCAGACTAGTAAGGAAAAGTGCTGTGGAATAGGTGGGATTCTAAAAGCACTTTATTTACATTGTACCAAAATAATCATTCTACAGTTTAAAAAAAAAACACTATCATTGTTATTTTGCCATGACATAGATCTGTCACTTGTTTTGATAAAGCTCTGAATCAAGCTGAGCAGGAAAATGTTCCAAACATTCATGATTGTCTTCCATACTAAACGAGTCACCACCAGCAATGACAGCCAGACCACCTCGTCACTCCCAACCAGCTAGCTGAGTGATTGCAATCAAACAAGTAAAGATGTACAGATTCTTGAGTAAATTCTTATTTCTTGGCCTTATTTTAAAAGTGCATGCTATTTTAACAAATTCAGAACAAAATTCTGAAATCGTTGTATTTCTTTTCTTTAGTTCTCTTAAAAAGATACTCTCATGATGAAACTATTATTTCTCTTTCAGAGACATATTTTAATTAGCAATAGAATTCAGGACTTGGTATCCCTAGATTTAGGTACTTGTGTCCAGGACAAGTATGTAAATCATAACATAATTAATTGGCTGCCAAAAGAGAGATCTTCCAAGTTGTTTTAGGAGTCCGTCATTTCTATTGTGACAATAAACTCAGACATAATGAAGTGGTCTTGATGAATCGGAAGCCCTTCTCTCTTCACTTCATTTTTATTTCATTTTTACAACAGCTTTGGGTTTTATTTAACACATTATTGCAGAAGAAAGCATCCATAAAACAGCTTTAGAAGAGTGAGAAATGTGTTCCCTTTAGGTTTTTATACTTTAAAATGGTATTCAGATGATTTTTAATTACTACAAAAGCATTGAGATGTTAATACACTTTGTAGAAAAGGCAGGGATGCTATTTCATCCATCCTTTTCTGCAGTGAATTTCAACTCTAAGAAAATTATTTCTTTTGATCCACTCTGATAGCATGTAATAAAAGAACAATAAAACATATGGCTCAATTACCACCGCTTCTCATCAAGCATGAATTAATGAATATCAAATTATTATTAATTGTTTTTTCTGGCTCCTTCTCCATAGGACAATTATACATTGCAGTATTTTGATAAGCACTTTGTGTTTAACACTTTGTGGAACAGACTCTAAGAGGGACAGATGCATGAAATTATAACACAAGTCAATCATTCTTTGAATTTATCACCATTTGCATTATACATGGTCATCCTTTAACCTCCCTAGTTTGTATCAGTTTCTCAAAACTGCTTAAAACCTCCCTAGAATTCTACCTGCACCTCAATTAAACTCCCTTCAAGAAACAGTTGCTATGTGTCTACAAAATAGTTTATAAATTCAATTTCTCACTAAGACTGGTTTCTCACATAATTATTGAGTTTTCAATTTCTTCAGAAAATGTTCTTTAAAAACAGAAGCTATAGCTTAAACAATTGAGAAATAACAGCACCTCACAGAATGTAAGACATTGTGCTAAGTATAATTGATAAAACATATGTTAGTAAATAACATTTATAGACACACCACAAAAAATTCTGCATACTTGATAGTTCATTTTATTTTTATAAGCTTTCTGTAAGTACAAAGTGCTACATAATAGGTATGTATGTAGAATGTGTTTGTAATCCATAACAATTACTTCTCATAGATTATTTGTACACCCAGACTTTGAAATGCATGCAAAGAAAATTTAACAAATTATAGCATGTTAATTATACATGTTATATGATTTTACCTATTATCTATAAATCTATTTCCTTTTAAAAAATAGTCTATAAAAACTATTCGTCTGATAAATTGAAGGATGATATCAAGGTCAAATTGCTCATATGTCCCATGTAGTTCAATAAACTTAACAAACACACATACTGACATATTTCTAACAAGCAAACCCAAATTCTAGAATCAGAGAACCAGAGTAGCAAAAAGGGACCTTAGAAGTCATTTTGTCCTATGCTCTTCATGTTACAAATAATGTCACAGAGATCTAGAAAGTTTAAGTGATTTTCTAAGGTCCATACAACCTTTTATGTTGACATCTTTGTGCAAAACTTTATAAGAAAATTTCTATCAGCATTTCTTTTGCAGATAAAAAAAAGCATATGTTACTTTCTGTAGTATATTTGTCAAGATTTCAATAATGACTGTGAATCCAAATTCTCAGTGGAATAAAAGTGAATAAATGAGAAATTTGGTAACAATCAAAACCATAATGCACAGCGAACATATAAAGCAGGGATGGACTTTTGACATTGGTTACTATAACCACCCGAATTAAATATATATATATGTTCTAGATGGACACAATACCTTTATATTATTTATATATTTTTATGTGGTACTGTGGATCGAACTCAGTGCCTCACGCATGCTAGGCAAGTGTTCTATCACTGAGTCACAACCCCAGCCCCCCAATTTTTTTWAAATCACTAAATCTAACCAGATACAAGGTGGTTGTTTTATGTATTTGACCTTACTGAGGGGAATTAGATTATTTATGCAATAGCAGATTTGTTGATTTTATACAAGAATTAATCTTCAGTGTAAAAGCTTTTCTAGATTATATACTCTCAAAATAAAACTCGTAACTTTTAATTTCTTAATGTTTTTCATCTTGATTTCCATGTGCCATCATCACTGAATCCATTTTGCTGAAAAAAAAGTGAAAAAAAAATTAGATATACAAATTCAGCACAAAAATAAGTCTACAATTAAGATTTTAAAAAACAATCTTTCATCTAGGGGAGAGTGGTGGATTAGGCATTCCACCTTTCCTTCCACTCTTGAATTCACTGATGTCCCTTTGGGCCACATGTAAASTACCAGATATCAGATATGCATATTCATAAAATGCTTGAGAGTCATCTTGACAACTTATATGTACTATAAAAAAATGCAGTGCCTATGAAGTGCACATGGGCAGGTGGGAAGGCACAAAGTCTCAGTCCTTGTGTAACCACACCCCCTAAAGTGTCATGGATTCCCGGGAGACAAAGTTATAGAGCTACCACCATGCGTATCAAGACCTATGATATAATGTTGGATCAGGATACGGCTGCTAAATTAGAAAGAAAAGCAAATATGAGAGCTGTCTTGGGGAAGCAGAAAATAGAAGAAGTATGAATATAATTAGGTTTATTCTTGAAATTGATTCTGCAGCCTGATGGAACGTGGGTTTCTGAATATTTTTCAGAGCATTTTCCAGATGTAGCCTCCCAATAGCTCATTAAGCTCACACATTTGTCATCAAGCTCCGTACTTTGGATCCCATGTAGGAATCCCAAATGTTCCTCTTTTCATTCACTGTGTCAACAAGATAAGGAAAAAAGTGTTGTTCAAGTTCTCTTCAATCTGATTTTGGTTATTTTATCTACTTAGTATTAAACCTAAAAATAAAATGTAGATACTGGCTTGTAAAAGTTGATCAAATGTCAAAGGACTTTATTTTGCTAACTTATGTCCTCTGTTCATCTTTTCAGTCAGCTTTTATACCTTTCTCACTTAGTTTATAGAAAATGTTCATTGAAGATACATATCCTTAATGGTTTCTCCTCACATTATCAATTATGATATGAGTCTAATTTATACTAATGTTTGATTTATATTGTTAAAAACATTTAAATGTTATATTTAATAAAGAATCAACTCTATTTTTTTTTTTTTCATTTAAAAGTAACATTAAGGGCTGGGGTTGTGGCTCAGTGGTAGAGAGCTTGCCTAGCATGTGAGACACTGGGTTCAATCCTCAGCACCACATAAAAATAAATAAATAAATGAAATAAAGGTATTGTGTCCATCTATAACTAAAAATATTTGAAATTAAAAAAAGGATTTATTATCAGGCATGGTGGTGCACACTTGTAATCCCAGTTACTTGAGAGGCTGAGGCAGGAAGATTGCAGGTTCAAGGCTAGCTTCAGCAACTTAGAAGGACCCCAAGCTATTTAGCAAGATCCTGTCTTCAAAATAACAAGTAAAAAGTGCTGGGAATGTAGCTCAGTGGTAAAGGCCCTGGGTTCAATTCCTAGTACAAAAACCAAACAAACAAAACAAAAAAAGGCATTTACTGTACTGACAAAATTATCTAAAAAAATATATTCAAGTGTAAATGTAGAAGGTCACTCACAGAAATGGACTTCAATTTAAAAAATCAATTTATCAGCAAAGATCTAATTTTGTTTGAAAAAATGGGAAAATTTTTTAAAATAAATGACTTTTTTCTTAGTTGTATCTATGTCCTATGTAATATCAGAAGATAATATAAATATTGACTGATTTTATACCAGTAACACAATATTATCATAGTATAACTATATGCTGCTAAATTGTTAACCAAATATAATTAATTAATAAAATATCTTACTTTATTTCAATACATCATTTTCAACAATACTCAATGTACATTAGTAATAAAAGTGATTGTTCTTTACAGATCCTGACACTTACCCAGGACCTTGGAGTAGCAAGGTTCACAGTGTATTGTCTGTCTATAAATCCAAATACTGTCACCTGCTTGTAGATTTTCCAAAGGCTGTTTGCATATTTCACACTAAAGGAGAAAAAAACATAAATATAAAGTTTACATCATAGATTAAGTCTAGATTCTTGGAGGAACAAGGTAGAGAAGCCTTTTCAGTTCATTCAAGACCACCTTCCATAGCCTCACTCCAATGCAGCCTCAAAAAACCCCACAGGAAATTTGAGAGTATCCTGGTCCTATAATCCATGTGGAAAACTTTTCAAATGGACTCTCATGTCCTCTTTCTATCATGCTGGTATATTTCAGGGACTATCTACCACCGAAGTTATCTACTTAACTCCCAAGGGAGCAGATACAATAGTTTTTAATATTGGTTATGCCAAGGACAGGATGTTCACCCAATTTCTCAAACAAAAATACAAGGTAGCATTTATGGTTTTCTTACATAAGGTTTAGGGGGAAGATTTATTCTGAGTTGTGTTGGGTGACAGAAGGAGGAAAGATCTGGCCTCTCTTTTAGACTCTTCCACTACTGATTGGCTGAGTTCCAAGCAAGAGGCAGGGGCACTAATTACTCTCAGAAGTGGGTTCACTAAAGTGAATTGGCCTTGATTACTTTGACATGTTTAGACCAGTTCAGATGGCTCTCTATTAATTACCATGGCTACAGAACAAACTATCTTTTTCTACAAGTGTGGGGAACCTTTTTATTCTCAGTTTTGTTTTATAATGACATTGGAAATGGTGTCAAATCATTTAAAATATAATAAATGAAAGTTGTTCCTATTTACCAAAAGCAATAATCAGGAGAATTTTCTCTCATTTATAAAGTTTTATTCATAATAATTTAAAAGAAAGAGTTATATACCTTTATTTAATTGAATATATTTAATAATAGGAAGCGATTGCATATTCTTAGAATCAAATAATTATTCAATCTTCATAATATATTTTTATAATCCTCTATTGGGTGGGTTTTTCTTTGTTCAAAATAATGCACCAAATTTCTGATTGCTTTATGTTACTATCTGAAGGTAAATGGAGGAGAAACATTCAATTCACTAAGTATTACATCTATTTGGATTAGATAATTTGTATCAATCATAGAATGCCCGCACTGTAACTACCCATAGATTTGGATAAGTGGCTCTCAATTGGCTGCATATTAGTTCTATCTAAGGAGTTTTCAAAGTACTAATGCCCCCAAATTATCTCTGAGATTCTTGGTTTAACTGGGGCTGGTCCCAAGCATTCTGATAATTTCCCTTAATCGCTTCAGATGATTATAAGACGCAGGGCAGGGTTAAGAACAACTGGTCTAGTCAACAGGTAAGGAAATAGTCCAAGGCAATCTAGGTGGTTTCCAAAGTCACTCAGTCATAACTAGTGGCAGAGGCAGAACCAGAAGTCAGGTCTTCAGATTCTCAGCTCAGTGTTTGCTCATGCAATTATACCCAAAGCTGTCATGTTGACCCACCCAATGTCATTGCTGAGAAAAAAAAATAGCTGATAGAAACCAAACTCTGAAATACTATGCTAATGAATGTCTACTATTATTTATTAAACCACAATTAATTGCAATTAGTCATAGGCTCAAAAGCAGATTGAGTTTTAACAATTGTTAAACCCATCAGGCCTAATTTCATGATGAAGAGTTGCTCGCTTTCTTCTCAAGTTTATTCTCTTCTTTTGATTTCATTATATATTTTATGCAATATGTGAATTATCAAAATGCTGCAGAAACTTTATAAAAAGAACAAGTGTTTATCTTTTTCACAGACTTAAATCTCTTGGGTAAGAATGAATAGATGTGTCAGTAATCAACTCTAAGCCTAAAAACCAAGATAGTAATTTTAAGCCTTTGAGGTTTAGGCTACAGAGCTCTGAGAAATATGTAAGTTGTGCATTATTAATGTGAATTACAGAGTTTCTGAATGCTTTCACTTCATTCCATGAATTTTAATAAATAATTATTTTAATTCCAGTTATTATGCCATTTTACATTTAGTTAAGTGTAATAAACACATGTTTACCTTAAAGCAAGTGGAATGGCAGCAAATCTGTAATTCATCTAAAATCATTTTCGTTTGTAAACCCAAGGGTTTGCGACAATAAGTACACATATCTCTTTCGATGACTGACCTGTAGACATATAAGCAATTAAAAATTAAAAAGAAATTTGCTACCATATAAAAGACAGAAGTCATGTAGAAATAGTATGTTACTTTTTAAAATTAAATTATTTATTCTAGTTTGTTATACACAATGGCAGAGTGCAATTCATTTCACATTACACATAGAGAGYACAATTTTTCAAGACACTAATGGTACACAAAAAATCACACCATTTGTGTCTTCATACATGTACTTAGGGTAATGATGTCTAACTCATTCCACGGTCATTCATTCCCCTTTGCCCCATCTAAAGTTCCTCCATTCGGTCCCATGCTCCCCTCACCCATCACCATTATGAGTCAGCATCCTCATATAGGAAACTACAGTAAAATCAAAAAAAGTGCAGAGTTTACTTATTCTAGTAATAGAATTGATTTCCTAGTTACCCCTAAGATGATGTCAAAGAATTAACATGAGGGAAAGTCTCAGATTATTAAACCATTAGCAATCAAGAATGCATATGAGCAGGACAGAGATGTTCAGTTTTCCTGCTAAAGTAGTTTATAAGGACCTCTTGAAGCTGGAAGAGGGTTTCTTAATTATTAATTTACCTCTATCAGTTTACAGATTACATGGGGAAAGTATGTTACAGATTAATGTAAAGGTTTTACACTTGAAATATTCAATAGGCCCCCAATAGAAATCCATTCAAGGGTGTGTTTATGAACTCACAAATGGTGGGTCTATAGTGCTCAAGGACTCCAAGGTCTAGAGTCACCACCCAGGGTAAGAGTCAGATTTAGGGATACCTATCATGACAAAGTTTATATTCTACAGGAAGACATAAAATTTGATTAGTTTTGTGAAACAATGTAAATGAATTATAGATGCAATCAACAGAATCCAGAAAAATTTAGATCATGCCACAGCATTAGGACAGGATTCTTTTCCTTTTGTAAGGTCTCAGGAGTGTCTTAAATCACACCAAGTAGTATTTATTGGATTTGAGGCTTTAGCACACCCGCCTGATATTTCCAGAGTAGGATACTTCATGGATAGTGAAATAAAAATAGCCAATACTGGGCCGGGGATGTGGCTCAAGTGGTAGCGCTGGCCTGGCATGCGTGCGGCCCAGGTTCGATCCTCAGCACCACATACCAACAAAGATGTTGTGTTGTGTCCGCCGAAAACTAAAAAATAAGTATTAAAATTCTCTCTCTCTCTCTCTCTCTCTCTCTCTCTCTCTCTCTCCTAAAAAAAAATAGCCAATACTTGTATAGTGCTTAACATGTGCAGTGTATTTCCCCAAGCCTGCGAATAAAAATTCAGCTACCCTTCACAACATTACTGAGAAGTCAGTATTGTTATTTTTAGCATCACTTTCTAGAAAGGGAAACTGGGGCAGAGAAAGGTCAGTATATTGCTGGTGTCATGCAGCCAGTGAGTGGCTTTGAATGGAGACAGTGTGATCCCAGAGTTTAGGCCTACCCATGAGGCCTACTGGGTTCCCTGTGTTGACAAGAGCTAGTCATACCCAGAAGCCAGTATAGTGTCATCAAGCCCATGAGTGAAGCAGAGAAGAGGGAAAATGGGAGGAAGAGAAAACCAGAGAAGAAAGGAATTAAAGTAGATAAACCTTTTCTGGTTTTATATTTTTAGTCATTCTAGCAATTTCTTGCTCATGCCTAAGTGCATAAGTAAATATTTTCCCCTTCACTTCATTCTCTAACTACTCACTTATAGATACCAGGCAAATATTTCCCTATGAGTTACCCATTTATATACAGATGTATGTGCATACACACCCAAATTTCCCATTTGTGACTATAAGCACTTTAAGAGCAGAAAGTATGTGCTTTCTATCTGCTGTCCATTCCACAGGCACTGAGCTAGGAACTGGGAGTACAAAGAATGGCTAGATGGTGTCCTCCTATGAGAAGCTGTTTCCCCTGGGGAAGCCAGACATGTGACTCAGTGATGACAGCATGACATGGATATGAGGGAAGAGGAGTGTCCACTGAGGAAGCAACCAATGCTGGGAGGAGTCAGGAAAGGCTTGTCCAGAAAGTGCATATGGTTAGGCTGGAAGATGAAGGAGCTCTCAAGGTGGGCTCATTGGGGTTCATGATGGAGGAACCAAGCACAGTGAACAAGATAGATGGAGCTGCTCCTCCCTGAGGGCATTTGCAGTGATTGACCATCTGTCAGTGTTCAGCAGGAGCAGATTCTAAAAGCCCATAAAGAATGTGTTAAAAAAAAAAGGTCTTTGTTTTATAATGTACGCAACCACTTTTAATGGGATTGATAGGCTTGGATAAGTACTGTGGGGACACAGCCAATTTCACGCACTCACTAACCAACAGCATGAGTTGCTTGACCTACTGGGCTTACAGAGAACTTACTGACAACTAAGAAAAAGTTCATGAACTGCCTCAGGCTAATTCTCTAATTCTTCATATTAACAGAAAGACTTTAATGAAGCATATTTCCCTTCATTACATTAACAATAAAAATATGAGTGCAGGTAGAATTCTGATATTGGTGTTGTCCTTAAAATTAAGGATTATACAATTAGTCATAGATATTTACAAAGGATTATGAAAAATCTAGCTTTGGTTTGGTTTTTGTTGTTGTTGTTACCTACATAGTGTCTATAATTCCAATGTTTGTATAGATTACTTTATTCCTCAGAGAAGTGTAACATAAAGGCAGGACACCCAGCAGAGCATTGATAATGGGAACAATCTTGGAAGATTATCATAAAGGGGCTATATTTTTATTTTTGACTGGCAGATAATAATTATATATTTTTATCTAACATGATGTGATATTTTGATATATGCATAAAATTTATAATGACCAAATCAAAGTAATTAGCATTTCTGTCTCAAATATTTATTATTTGTGTTAGGAACACTCAAAATCCTTTCTTCTAATTATTTTGAAATAAATCATACATTGTTGTTAGCTCTGCTCATCCTACTGTGCTACAGAACTCTAGAAGTAATTCTCCTGTTTGTATTTTGATACCTGTTATCTATCCTCTCTCTATCTTGTCCTCCACAACCTGGACCATTTTACTCTCGACTCCTATGAGAGTAACTTTTTTTAGCTTCCACATAGGAGTGACAAAATGTGKTACTTGTCTTTCTGTACCTGACTTATTTTACTTAACATAATGTTCTTTGGGCTCATTTGCATTGCCACAAATAAAAGGATTTCATTCTTTTTATGACTGAATACTATTCCATTGTATGTATATATCCAAAACTTTTCTTTTTCCATGAATCTATCATTGGACATCTAGATTGATTCYATATCTTGGTTATTATGAATATTGCTGCGATGAACCGGGGGTAAAGCTATTTCTTTGGCATACTGATTTCCTTTCCTTTGGATATGTACCCAGTAGTGGAATTGCTGGGTCTATGGAAGTTCCATTTTAGTTTATTGAGGAACCTCTATATTGTTTTCCATAATGGTCATACTAATTCACTTTCCTTCCATCAGAGAAACAGATAAAATTGTGATGCTTGGTTCACCCATATTCTCCTTTGTGAATGGGACATAGGTTCATGTGCTCAGAAAACATTTACTGAGTATCTGTTAGACACCAGCATTGGAGGCTGAAGCTATGCATAAAAACAAGATATATATACCCTTGCTCTCAATGAGTCATATTTCCAGCCCTTGCTATAGAGAAACTGGTAGAATATCAGATATTTGCATTAAAATTTGTTTCCAGTGATTGGGTTGAAAAGCTAATTATTTTCATTTACTTCACTGCAAATCTGCAGGCCACACACTCCTGAGTGTCATCTAGGAGTGAACATTGGGCCCCACTGAACATTAAACAGTAGAAGATCACTAATAGCAAAAGCCTGGAGTGGGGTCAGTTCACCAGCACTAAATCAATACTCATCATAACTCTCCCCCTGGGAACTGCACTTAGGTCCAGGGTAGGTCTTATCAGTAAGTATATCCACACAGCTGCTTGTAAAGTGAGATGGCTTTGAAAAACCACAAGGAGGGAGGGCTGAGGGTAGTCTAGTAGTACAATGAAGCCTAGATGCTAATAATGTGGAATTGGGGACCCCTGGGATTCATCAACAGCAAAAGGGCTGGCCTGGAAGGCTGCTGCAAAGAATGGAAAGGATTTTTGGAATAATGTGCATCAAAATTAGAGATCAGCAACAGCAGGAGACCAAGAGGCAAATTCTTGGATGCCGAGTTATATTCCCTTCTTGTACATACATAACAATTATCATTAGGAGAGCTATCTCGAGAACAAATGATAATGAGAATATATATGTATGTGTATATGGGTTTTGTGTGTGTGTGTATGTGTGTGTGTGTGTGAGTGTGTACACTAATGTATACTTTTGTGTTTGGAAATATAGACATGCTTACCGATCTGAAGTTGAATAAACAGTTTGTATATATTTTCCAGAAGTATTCTCCTGATATCCATCTTTTGGTGATTTACTAGAAACAAACATATATGAACATATGAGAGTCTATCTGTTTTCTCTAGTATCAATGTCATATCCATACACTGATGGATTGTAAGAAAACACACACATACAGCCTTATTATTATTGTTTTTTGTTACCCTGCAAGTCAGGATAATGCTTTGACACTGATTTTTTAATCTGTAGAAGTACTGATGCACAAAATGCCTCCAAGTTGATATATCATCAAAGTAAATATAGAGTAGGGTAAGGAATATAGGAACAAGTGTGAGTAGGTAAATAAGTCAACATTTTTTTCATAAAATGTCTACTTTCACCCCACTTGTTCACTAAAACTATTTACAGTCTAACATAAAATAAAGGTAACACACAAAGCCCAAGCAAGGCAGGCAAACACACATACACCATTCCCAGGGAACAATGGAGACACATGAGCTTTTAGAGAAAGCTCTAGACATTTTTATTTTTACTTGAAAACATGCAAGAAGGAGTAATTTAGAATGAAAGCAAAATTTTAAGTACAATTTTAAAAGTCCTCTCTTTTTCATTTTGTAGATTGTCCCAGCTTCTAAACGTCACTTCTTCTGTAGACCAATGAATCTGTTGTGAGCTAACCAGTTGGCTCCTCATAATTGCTTCCCCAAAACTTAGGCTACCTGGGAATATATTACGATTCAACTCAACATGTTGCTACTATTTCAAGCAAGTGATAATTCTACATCCCTCACATGAGATTTTTTAATGAGAAATCTCTCTCTCCATCCAAACAGTCCATAGGCAGACTGCTGTCAGAACTAAAATCTACTTCCTGGAGCACATTACCCCTCAATGCCAAATAAGAGTTTGCACATATTTGTTCATGATGCATATATCATTACTTTTATTTTATTGATGAGGAAACTGAGAACTGCAGAATAGCTTTGCCAAGACTACATGGTTAATAAATGGCAAACAAAGACTCAACCCAAATCTGATTCTAGAGACTCGACTCTACAATGCACTGTCTGTCAGTGGAGATTTTAGGGAAGTTAGGGGTGTTTGGGGTTGCATCACCACTTTGTTAAGTTAAAGGAGGGGAAAATCAATCTTTCCAGAATGTTCTGCCTTGTAAACACTTGGCCTGGCATGCAACAATGTCATCTATTATCTTTTATAGTGATTTTTCTCAAACCTAAATGTGTATCAGAAACACATGACAAGTTTGTTAAAATGAGATTTCTGGGTTCCACTTGCAAAGCTTTTGATCTGGCAGGTCTAGAGGGAGGCCAAAGAATTTTCATCTCTAGCAAGTTCTGAGGTGATGCTAGCCCAGAGTCCACACTGTATCAAAATGTCTAGAGTTAGATGTTTTATAGAATATACACAATTCTAGAAAAATAATCTTTTCCTTGAAAATCAATACTGCAATTATTGGCATGAGTTCCTGTAAGATATTTCTTTAGAAATCAAAACGTATTGGTGTAATATCCCTTAGAGCTGATGATGCGTGAGAGAAATTATTATGGAAGAAATGCCTGTTATTTTCTAATTCTATTTTACAGTATTTGGAGTCTTGACTTCATCGTAATATTTTTTTGATACTATTTATCTACTTACCAATGTTTTTCAACTACTTGTTATTTTAAAATTTACTCTGAYGCAGGTTGAAAGGTACCACAGATGTGGGGGTAGCATTACTTCCTGTGTTCCAGACTGGCAGCAGCACATGCCTCATATTTAATAAAATTGGAGCCAATTTTGGTTTTGTATTATTTTATAATATTTTCTGTTTTCTTTAAAAATGTCAACATAAAATTATAGGTGAAAAAATCATTTTAAAATATTTTATATGTAAGTTATTTAAAAGAGGGCAGAAATCATTGTTTTCAACATACCATAGAGTGCAACGTAAATTAAGACAAAAATCAAATTGGAAGTTATATTTTAAAGGATAAATTATGCATGGGTTTGAAGAACCTTTTTTGGAAAATTGCTCACTTTCCCTCATATATGAAGTTTATTGGAGCTCCTGAAGGTACCCTGCACCCAGAAGATTCACCAGGGCTACTTCTGCTCTAAGGCCTCTTACATGTCACATGTATCTGCATGGGTGTGCCCAACCATTAGATTACACAACAATTAGGACAATGCTTGTTTTCATGCTCCTTGAAAACCAAATGGGCTGTGAATGTGTGACCTTAGTAGAGATTTTCCTCAAAATCCATCATGCCAATCAGCAGATTTCATGGGACATCCATTCTTTGTAATTTGGGTCAAAATATATCTGCTCAAAGTTATACCCCTTATTTCAGATTGGAGATAAACAATAGAAAAAGCCATTTAATTAAAGTGGGACTTCAAATTAGTATTGGGATATTTGTGTAGTTTACAAAGCTTGTTAAACCATATGGTCACATATGTCTATGTGAGAGCTTTCAAATGATAATCCTATTATGTACACATGTATTATATTAAACTATCACTTAGCTCATCCAGTGACTATAATTATTTATCAAGTACTTAATATCGGAAAATGCAGTACTATATGCCTAGACCTTAATACATTTCTAGGTGGTCTTCTTTTGTTAAACATAGACCATTTCAAAATTATAAAACAAAGAAAGATATTTTAATTATATTTCTAATACCTGTTTTCCACGTAGGTCCTTGTGTACACAACAGTGTCCTTTGGTCTTGTGTGCCTGGTATCAGCATTGGAACTGCAATACAAACCATTTTACTTCATGTTGAAAGTGTATGTATAAGAATAATAAAAACAACAAGGCTATTATCCAATTCAATGCAAAAAGTAATGTTGTATTCTTTCTTCTAGACTATAATTGTGGAAATCATGTTAAAGTGCTATTAATTAAATTCTGCAAAATTTTATTATTTCTCCTATTTTGTTCTTAACTTCCACTGTGCTGACCTACTTTCAGAGTATTAGCATGAAAATCAGTCATTCAGTAAATCTGCTCAGAGCGGGAAGATTATTTTCAATATCTGTGTAATGTGTTTTAGTGTGTCTTTCCCTGATGTCCCATTCATATTTCCTACCCACAATTCTCCCCATAAACCTCAAATAAAAATGAATCATAATTTAACTATCCTAACAGCATCTGATTTAATGAAGTATCTAGATCTATCTAAAGAATGCCAACATTAAGGCTGGACAGGTAGCTCAGTGGCAGAGAGCTTGCTTAGCACCCCAAAGCCTTGAGTTCAATCCCCAGTACTGCAAAACAGAACAAAACAACAAAACCCACTACTATCACAATTTCATGCTTTTTGTAATTATAGACTTCTTAAGGAAAAATGCATTTTACAGTTCCTATCCAGATGTTCCAAGAAAAAACCAAGTTGCTAATAACACTTCCATGTAATGTTATATACATATAACCCCAGATAAAATTAGAAATGTCTTCATTTCAAAGGAAGGGTCAGAGGCCAACCTTAGTAACTTAGCAAGACCCCATCTCAAAATAAACAGTGAAAAGGGCTGGGGATGTAGCTCAATGACAAATCACCCCTGGGTTCAATTCCAGTACCAGAATAAACAAACAAACAAGAACAGTCCTGTTGCTTATTGTACAATCAATTAAATACCTGAAGCTGTCCTTGGTTTCATAGGAATAGGAAGWGCTTCTGGTAGACTCATTGTGCAAAGTTTTGGTGAATCCATTGACTTGGCCACCTAGCCTGAGAGAGTAAACATAGTGTACTTGTCACTTAAAATCAGTCACTTAAAAGTTTTTTGCTTTATTAAACTTTGGTTCCATTAACATTACTTTACCTACAATTAACATTACTTTACCTATGACTGTCTGATGTCTGCACAGATATACATAGAGTACACTCATTATTTCTCTCCCTCCACAGAAACCAGACTTTAAGAATATCCACAAGCACATGCCACATTGTCTGCTGCTAGGACAGAATACCTTTTTATCAAAGCTTGAAACCATCAGAAATAGATTCCTGCAACATTTTCACACCAGCAGTGTCATTTTATAAAGCTTCCCATGGTACAACATATCTGAGAATTTATCAACTTAATGAAAATGATCCAGGGGTTGCTCTGAGACATTCCAGTTTCCATTTTGCTTTTAATGAAAGGCAACACTTTGAAGATTGCAGAAGAACTCTGACCTAGATTTCTGCTAATCTAAAAATGTCACCAAGTTTCATAGAGTGGAGACACATTTGCTTTTTCCTATGGAACAGAAGAAATTCTTAATGCAAGAATAGTGAACATTTTAGCTCCTTCTCTTCCTCCATGTTAGCAAACTCTGACACAGGAGAGACTTGAAAACCTACAGGAGAGTTCAGATCTTAATCAAGCCTTATCATTCTCAAACAGGCTGTTCTTTCCATTTCCAGAAAGCTCTTAGAGAAGAGGAGAACATTTGTTCACATATCATCTCTGACATACAGAAAATCACCTCTGGTTTTAAGGCAGCTGTTTCATGAACATATATGACTAAGTTCAAATGATACTAAGTAGTGAAAATGTAGAATTAATAGTATTAGGTTTTTAACATGATTATCACAATATGTCACTCCAGGAATAGTAAAACTAACTTGGAACTGTTTAAAAATATTCAAATCATATGACACACAATAAAAAACCCACTTACAAAAAATTGATAGCTTCAAAGAACAAAGATTATCAGTGAGATTGAAATATGTCTGCGTTGTCCTCAGCAACATAAAATAAAAAATAAACAGTGTGCAAAATCCACAAACAGAAGAGGGAAAGGCTTTGAAAACAGTACTATTATGGACTATTGTAGTCCCTCCAATTCATATATTGAAGCCCTAACCCTCCATGTGACTGTGTTAGCTCTTCATTAATTCTTCTAATGAAACCTCATTTCATAAACAAGCCCAAATGAAATTGGTACACCTTTCAAATCATATTAAATAGGAAGTTTCTTAATTATACKTAATTATTAATTTTTTTTCTGAGTAGAATTTTTTACTGTTAAGATACTTGTTACATAACATCAGTGTTTTTCTAAGTGGAAGTCATGGAGAAGATGCTGGCTTTTTGTTTTGTTCTAAAGGCATATGAAAGCAGGTTTTCTAGAGTTAACAATTTTGATAAATGAAATTTTTATGCATTACAATTCCTATTACAAATATAGAGCACATTTTTTTCATATCTTTGGTTGTACACAAGGTAGAGTCATATCCTTCATATCTTCATAGATGTACTTAGGGTCATGATGACCATCGCATTCCACTGTCTTTCCTACCCCTATCCTCCTTTACTTTACCTCCCTCCCCTTTTCCCCTTTGCCCTATCTAGAGTTCATTTAATCCTTCCATCCTACCCCCCACAGCATATTATGAATCAGCATCCTTAAATCAGATAAATCATTTGGCATTTGGTTTTTTGGTATTGCATTATATTCTCCAGCTCCATTCATTTACCTGCAAATGCCAAGTTTTTATTCTCTTTTCATGCTGAATGATATTCCATGGTGTATATTTACCACATTTTCTTTATCCACTCATCTACTGAAGGGCATCTAGGTTGGTTCCATAGTTTAGGTATTTTGAATTGTGCTGCTATAAACATTGATGTGGCTGTGTCCCTGTAGTATGCTGTTTTTAAGTCCTTTGGGTATAGATTGAGGAGTGGGATAGCTGGGTCAAATGGTGGTTCCATTCCCAGTTTTCCAAGGATTCTCCATACTGCTTTCCAGTTTGGCTGCACCAATTTGCAGTCCCAGTGTGCCTTTTCCCTCACATCCTCTATCTATCACCATACACAAAACTCAACTCAAAGTGGATCAAGGACCTAGGAATTAGACCAGAGACACTGCATCTATTAGAAGAAAAAGTAGGTCCAAATCTCCATCATGTAGGATTAGGCCCCAACTTCCTTAATAAGACTCCTATAGCACAAGAATTAATATCAAGAATCAATAAATGGGATGTATTCAAACTAAAAAGGTTCTTCTCAGCAAAAGAAACAATCAGTGAGGTGAATAGAGAGCCTACTAATTGGAAACAAATTCTTACCACACGCATGTCAGAGCACTAATTTCTAGAATAAAAAACTCAAAAATCTTAACATCAAAAAAATAAATAACCCACTTAATAAATAGGCCAAGGACCTGAACAGACACTTCTCCAAAGAAGATATAAAATCAATCAACAAATATATGAAAAAATGTTCAACATCTCTAGCAATTAGAGAAATGCAAATCAAAACTACTCTGAGATTTCAAATCTCATTCCAGTCAGAATGGCAGCTATTAAGAATTATTTACTTTTTWAATTTCAAACCTCAATCACTTTCAAATAATATTTGAATGAGCTTGGTTAATTGTAAGTCACTCCTGTTCCCAAAATAGTGAATGGGTTTCCAGAATAAGCAGATCCTACTGAAAAATTATCCTGCCTCATTCTATCAAAGACTTTCTTAGGATCATGATAAAAGATGGCAGAAGATGATTTGGACAATTAAGGGAAGAGAAAGAAACTGTCTGTTAGATTCAAGAGCCTTTTGTAGACATTATGGGGGAAAAAAAGTGAGTCAGCTTTTTCCCAAGCTTTTCCACTGTCTGCAGAAAATATTATTTCTCAATATTTGAATGACAATTATTAAATTSTCACACACATACACCACCACCACCACCACACCAGGAAAGTAAAAAATGCCACAGGAAGGTAAATTTTTTTAAAAAGTAATATATTGTATTTTTAGGCTTTTTTCATATTTAGGGAAAAAACTGCTAAACATGAAAATTTATTAATTCCTTTCCAATTTAAACATTGATATTAACAATGAAATACTGCTTCTATCCTAATTTTCCTTATAGTGGCAAATGAAGCATTACAGTTTTAAAGCCCTTATACTTTGTGGTGTAAAGAAATTTCAAAATTAGGTCCTGTTTTGTGGCTGTGAGCAATTTGTGCATTTTTTAGCACAAGGTATCCAAGGAAAAGATTTTCAGAGTGTGCTCTGCATCTCTGAAGACCTACCAAGCAACAGTAAGTAAAAATAAATCTTCACAGACCACATAAAGAGCTTTGAATTTCYATGACGCCTTTTACACTAAGCAATGGAACAGCAGGCCTAAGTCAGAAAGTCTAACGGAATTAGAATTTTGTTAATTTTTTTGTATCAGCTATTAAGCAACTGGTACCATAATTTTTTTTTGTATTTAGATAGTCTTTATTTTTAAAAACAATAATACAATCAAGTCCCCAGAAAATCTTCTAAGATCACACACTTCACACAGGGGCAAACTCATAATAAAGAAAGTAAATTATAATGAACCTTACCTTCCATTCTTTTTTTCAGACACATGAGAATTTTCTTCAATTAAATTTTCTTGGTCCTGGTCTCTAGTTAACAACACAATTTTGGAAAATAAGCACATATTAGAGTTAAAAAATTAAACCTTAGTACATAATGTTAGACACAGTGATTTGTGGTCTATAAAGTGTGTGGAAGATCAGAAATTGGATGTTGAGCTATTTGGCCCAACTACCAGTGGATCAAATATGAAAGCACAGGTTGGGTGGAACCCCATGGTAGAGTACTTGTTTGCAGGCAGAGCATCTGGGTTCAACCCCAGGAATGAAAGAAAGAGAAAGCAAGCAAGAAAGGATAAAGAAAAGAAAGTGTGAATTACATTGTGAGAGAAAAGTAAAAAAAAAAAAATTATATGTTTTTTGGAAGGTTTGGGAAGTCTTGTCTGAAAAGACACCATTGATTTATATTCACAGTCAGCTAACATTTAATGAGYACTAAGTTTGTATCACAAAGTTGTAACTGTGTATTTTTACATGATCTCTTTCAGATCTCACAAAACCATATAGGAAGGCATCTAGGACTCRGAAAGACTGAATTTTCTAAGACCAATAAACTAATTTATGGAAAGTCAAGATTTAAGGCCATGTCACCTGCCCACCGAAAATCGACTCTTGAATTTTTATTGGAGTCTTCATTCAGACTTCTGGAATAATCAAAACATAAGACAATAACCCAAAATGTTATTCAATAATTTATGATGAGAAGGATAAATGGAGTGATTGGATTCTTAAACCTTGGGATCCATTAATGATTTCACAAGTTTTCATGAGATACAATGTCCTCTGATATGTTAGTTGCATTCCAGCTWTTTATATATTTATAACATTGAAAATTCCTGGGGTGTGTGTGTTTTTATGAGTTTGGAAAAGGCTTTGTCTGTCATGAACTCTACTGAGCAGGAGAATTGCTAAGGAGTCAGATCAAGAAGGTTCATCTCTTCCCTTTCTTCCCTGGGTAAATTAGTCAACTTTTTAAGCTTCATTTTGTAAAGGAAGTTACTAATATCCAATCTCTCAAGTCATGATGAAAAAAAATAAAACTTAGGGCACAGTGAGCACACTTGTGAGTGAATTGAATAGGCTTACATAAAKTAGAACTAATGGAAGTATAGAGATGCAGGAGCACTACTGATTCACAGTTTTGAGGGACTACATTTTGTTGTTATTTCTATCCTAAATTTTCACATCTTTGGAATTAATTCCAGTTCTTAAAATTGTCCTTGCCATGCCCTGAGTTTAACTAAAGTTGTAATACATGGAATGAATATATAGACTTGTACTCACAAAATTAATATTGATAAGGACAAAGAAGACTATAAACATTCTCATCTTTATGTGGAGTGAGATTTAATACTTTTTACATAACATTCAAGTCATCAGTAATTGATAGACGATGGAAATTAGGCACTATTGAATAGCCACACTTAAACCTTATTTTTAAAATACTAGCTGATGCTTTTCAAAATGCAAAAATTTAGGGTAAATTACTTTTTAATGTGAGTTACAGTAGAAATATTCCAATTTGTGTACGTAAAAAGTATGACAGTTCAGAGGCAGCCCAGAAGTATCAAAATCACTAGGTTTTTTGATCTGAATGATATCAAATTCTAAACTGAATTTCTGTTGAAAGACAATAGAAAGAATCAGATATAACTTTCCTATGTCTATACGTGAATACACTACCAGTACAACTCCACATTATGTACAAACACAAGAATGGGAAGTTCTACTTCATGTATGCATAATATGTCAAAATATATTCTATGGTCATCTAAAAAGAACAAATTTTAAAAATGAAAAAAAAATTCTAAATTGAACTTCTCAACTTGACAGCTAAACCTGTGTAAGGTGATCTCCCAGCTCACCTCCTGAAAATTTAGAAATGGAGACAGAAGGCTTTGGGTTTTCCTACCCCCACCATAGTCTTCATCAATTTCTGGAGCTTCCTTCTTGGTATCAGGGGCTGCTGTGCTACCTTAATGGCCTTAGACATTAAGTGATCCTTCCCTTAATGTTTCGAATAATACTTCACTAAATACTTGGGAATGAAGGAATGAAATTAAATGGAGTATCCATCATCCAGTTTCCTATAACAACAAACTGGAATGAATGGCAGCAGTACATGGGAAAGATCACCASGACACATGAATCTTGGAAAATCAGAATTTTGTCCTGGAAAGTCATTCCCCCTCTACTGCCAACACTGGAAAAACTTTGCACTACGTTTAAGGCAGCTGATCACTTTTATTACAACTTGAGGGTAGGTCTCACATGATCTTACACAGAGTATTTTTTCCATAAATATGTGAAGATGAAAGGTAAAGATGGCCATCTACAAGCCAAAGAGAGAGGCCTGGAACAGATTCTTCCCTCTTGGCCTAAGCAAAACTAACCCTGCTGACAGCTTCATCTCAGACTTCTAGCCTCCAAAGCCAGACAAAGTAAATTTCTATCTTTCAGCCATCCAGTCTGTGGTCCTTTGTAAGTGCAGTCCTAACAAATGAATTCAGACTTCTTCTCCCTCACAAGGTGATTGTTTCTAATTTCTCAGCTTGATGGTGGACATTTTCCATTCCTCTGGCACTGTCCACTCAAGATTGYTGCAGATACTGCACCTTTGCTCTGTGTACACCTCTCATTCAACTCTTTCGGGCCATAGCTTCTTTTAAGAGGGAGAAAAAAAATGAATTTGAACTTCAGGAAGAAGGGGAAGCCAGAATCTTACAAATCCAACAACTAAAACTAGACAAAAACTGGAGCCCACGTAAGCCTTGGAAGAAGCATGCTCCCAAAGTGGTGTGAATCAACAAACCACATGGTTAGTGGCTTCATAGAATTTTTCTTTTTTCTTGTTTCATTAAATACTACATATCAAGTTTGGTTGAGTGGGCTATAAAATTTTAAGCTGAATGAGCTAGACTAATATTTAAAGCCAACATTTATTCCTGATGATGGAAAACACCAAATGAGCCAGCATGGTAACACACACCTGAGTCCCAGCAACTTGGGAGGCAGGGGAGGGAGGATCACATGTTTAAGGCTTAGCAAGACCCTGTCTCCAAATAAAAAGGGCTGGAGGTGTAGCTCAGTGGCAAATCCCCAGTCCTCTCCACACATACACACAAAGCACAAAATGTATATTTACCGAGCTTATTCACTCTCTTGGTATCATGAGCTAAATCAGAAGATCTAATGAAGTTCAGACTACCCATATACTTCCTAAGTCAAAGGATGTGAAAATAATTTTTGGTTTTTTAATTAACACCACATCTATTGCATGACGTCTTTTACACTATAGTGAAAGATGAAGAACTGTGAGTCAAAGTGTGAAAAATAGATTTTATAGAAGTTCAAGCCAAATGCTGCAGGCTTGAGCAGCAAAGGGATTCCAAACGCTTCCCGTGGTAATTGTAGCAAAAGGAAGACCTTATAGTTTACAAGCAGTTAAATTAATTTCAAGGAAATCATTAATTCTTTATAGATTCATAGAATTGCTAAAGAACAAATTATTAATCATTGCAACCAGTAATAATTTTTTAAATGTGGATTTCAAACATTGGGGAGAAAATAGGAGTCATCAATGGGGCAAAGCCACAGGTGATTTATTTTCCTCTGCCACATTAAGTAGTATAGTTACTGAGCAGGGGAAATGGAGATTCTGGGGACCAAGAAATTATGTCTCTTGCTATAGACATTTCCTAGGATAAGTTTTGATGTGATAAAATTATTACTTCACTTCTAACTGTTCTTCTCCTCTCGTATGAGTGTAGGAGGTACTTATTAATAGGTGGCAATATGCTTCTCTCTATAGAGCTAACTTAATTTGCTTTTGCAGAGTATCATACACACTTAAAAAATTAAGAGTCTTCATATAAAACTTTTACTATGGTATTTATTTTTTGACAGGAACTAAATCTTAGGCATTGGACTATAGTTTAAAAGGAATTTTTGTCTCCCTGAAAGAAATATAGAATACAAAGAAGTAACTAGTATAATTCTCAATTTATTGACACAGTAAAATGAGTCCAGATTTACATGTTTTTACATTTTTTTTCAACAAAGATGTCTTATTAAAGAAATTAAGAGATCTATAGAGAAGTTGGACAATTTAGGTATTTTAAATATAAGATATAATTTCTAACTTCAGTGGCTCTTGTTCACCAAAATTCACTGAGATTATTGTGAACAACTGGGCATTTGAGTGCACACCTATAATCCCAGATACCTGGGGTCAGGGGCACAAGGCTGGAGAATTTCAAATTCAAGGCCAACCTCAGCAATCTAGTGAGGTCCTGTCTCAAAAGGTTTTATCTAGTTGGACTATCATAAAGCACTGATTAATTTGAGGTTTAGTCATTAATGCACAGAATATTTAACCTCATATGTGCCAGATACTGTGCCACTGTGCTAAACAGTATAAAGAATAAACACGACGGATCCAGTCCTTGACACTAATGAGCTTATAGGCAGAGAGAGAGAGAGAGAGAGAGAGAGAGAGAGAGAGAGAGAGAGAGAGAGAGAGATAACAATTCTCTCTAAGGGACAAATGTTAGGGGACAGGAAGGACAGAGCTTGAGAACATCTAGAGGATGATGCACACATGGTGGGTAGGGCTTTCCAGAACCTGAGTGAGAGACACCTACACTGGTACCTGAAGGGTAAGCAGAAGTTATCCAGGCAGTAACATGGAAGGAGGAGTGAAGAGCAGTCCAGTGAGTGAGAGGCTGGTGGATAGAGTTTACTTGTAAGTGGGAAGGAACAGGAGTTGGGGTGGGAAAGCCTGCAGAGGCCAGATCATGATGGGCTTTGAAAACCAGGTTAAGCGGCAGGGTCATGACCTATTGGCAACGGGAAGCCGCTGAAGGATTTTAATTAGAAAAACAGGATCAGATTTGGGTTTTAAGAAGATCAGCTACAGTGATTGAAGGACATAAGTAAGACTGGCAGCAGAGGAACCCTTTGGAGACTGGACAAGCAGTCTGGATGACAGCAGTCCTAGGGTCATTTCCTGAAATGATGAGGAGAAGCAC